TATATATATATAGAGAGAGAGAGAGAGAGAGAGAGAGAGAGAGAGAGATCAAAAATAATATACTAAGCCAGGTGTGGTAGTGCATGCCTGTAATCCCAGCACTGAGAGACCGAAGCATAGAATCACAAGTTTGAGCCCAGCCTGGACAAATTAGCGAGCCCCTGCCTTAAGTAAATAAATAAATAGGTTGGGGATGTAGCTCAGTGCAAAGACACTAGGTACAATGCCCTGTACCATAAAATAATAATAATATACTAAACTTCTGTTTAGCCCTCATCCAGCTCCCGAAGTGGAATCTTGGGCTGGGGGATGGTGCCCACTCAGTGGTAGAGTGCTTGCCTAGTGTGCACAAAGCCCTAGCTTCCCTCCCCAGCACCACAGGACAAAAAAGGAAAAAAAAAATCAGTATAGTTAAAAGTCTTAGGATGCTTCTCTCCACTACACTCTACATCCTCCCACTCAGGTAACCAGTAGACTAAATTTTAAGTTTTCTATTATGCACTGTGTGTTTTTCGGGTCTTATTACATATGTATGTTATCCCTAGGCAAAAGCCATTATTTTGCATGTTTGTAGACTTTATATAAATAAAAGATTATTCAGTACCTTTCCGTTTGCTACTTGCTTTTTTTTCACTTGGTGTTGTGTTTTGATTTCTTTACATTAATATATGTAGCTCTGATTAAATCATTTTAACTTTTTTATAGTTTTCCATTACATGGATAATTATACTGTTACCAGTTCTTTCCAGTTACAAAGAAAAACTTGGTACATGATTCCCTGCTCTTTAAAATTTTTTTTACCGATGAAGTCACCAATCCAAAAAGTTTGGCTTTCAAACCATTTTTCACCCTGACCTAAAGTAAGAAATACATAATGCATGGCTACTTAGTATCCACTGACATACACACGTAACTAAAAAGTTTCAAAAACCAATTCTTACTGTCTGTGCTCTGAAATTTCTGATTCTATTTTAATTAATTTTTATCACATCCATCAGCTTGAAGGGTTTCCCGACCCATTAATGGGTCATAGCCCAGAGTCTATGGCTCCCTCAGTCCAGCTCAGCCTCTCACTTCATGGATGTAGTCTTCCTCCCCAAGCTGCAGGCCGTCAGCCTTCTCTGGAGAAATCCTGATCTGCCCACACCTCTCTGCTGGTCCTTGCACTTTTGGAATAAATGATTCCCCCTTCAGGGGGACATCTTTAGGCTGGAAGGTCTGGATGTGGATACCATTTATGTTTTCTATTGCCCAAATGGATCTATATTTCAGATTCACTTATTGGAAATGGTGGTGCTGAGGTGAGCACAGAGGACCACCAAGGCACGGAGCCACCTGCGGGACACATCCTCTGTCTGACATCTAAGGTGGAACTTGGATTTGAACTTGGGTTCCTTGTCTGAGGCTTTTTCACTACACCATGAAGTTTCCTACAAACAGTGGTCACCTGAGTCATACCTTACTTACATTCCTTGGGGAATGGACACCACGTGGCTCTCATATCATCAAGACACCTATATAGTCTGCGGGGCCCAGTGTGAATCGAAATGTAGAGGCTCAGGTTCAAAATTGTCAATCAACAGTCTCAAGACAGAGACGGCCAAGCATTAGATTAAGCACAGGCCCTTTCTATGAGTGCATTTGTATCGATACTGCCCTGTAGATGATTCCTCAGCCCGCATCGCCCCACACCAGTCTTCCCTGAAGATTCTGCTCACTTCCTCCAGGGAGCCTCTTCTCAGCCCCCAAGCTTGCCAGGCCCCTCTGAAGCCAGCCCTGCTGGGCCCTCAGGGTGGCTTGGCATAGCACTTGCCTGACGATGGCTGCGTCACCCTCATTGCCTGATGGCACTCCATGCTACCCTAACACCACCACTCGACTGGATGCTCCTGGAAGGCAGGGTCTACTTCCCAGCTCTACATTCCCAGGTCTTAACACTGGGCCAGACAGCTTGCCAGTGTAAGTTTTGTGGCATAAAGTAAAGGAAAACCTGACTGGGTAAGAACAGTGAACCCCAGTTGGAAGGCAGACAGGCTTTTGGCAGGGTGGGGGACCACGTCCTCAGACAGGTGACAGTATCAAAGGGGGAGGAGGGAGGGAGAGGAGCCATGGGGTTCAGAGGTGAGGACCTAGCCAGGCAAGCAGGATAAGGAGCCCTGTCAAGAAAACGGACTAATTGGGCTGGGGATTTAGCTCAGTGGCACCGCACCTGCCTCCCAAGTGCAAGGTCCTGAGTATGATCCCCAGTCCCTGGCGGGGTTGGGGCAGACTGATTCATCCAGAAAAGCTTCCTGGAGTGCGAAGCCCAAATGCCCCAAGAGCTGATGTGGGGCTCAGGGACACAGATGGGTCCAATCTGCACTATGCTCTTCCCCCAGGGCCCAGGGACCAAGTTAGACAGGTTAAGGAGGAAACACGTCCTCGAGTCTCTCTCCCCACCCTAGCTGCAGCCCTAAACAGACAGGGACCACTCTTGTGCCTTACATGAGATCGATAGAATCTGCCTCCGACAAGTTAGCCAAATTGCCAGTTGAGGAAAGTGGGCATCCTTTGGTAGCGATGGTCCGGTTCATAAACTTGGGGTTTGGAAAGGGCTTTGGCAGTTGATCAAACGCATTCATAACATTGAGGTTTTCCTTCTTCAGTGTGTTCTCCTCCCCATCCCCCACTTTACAGAGTGCCTCGGATGCCATCTGGGTGGCTGGGGACCACAGCCGGCACCATGCAGAACAAGCCAGCTAACAGGACAGAAAGAGAAGCTGCAGGAGCCGCAAGCCCACCTTTACTGTGGGTGGGGTGGGCTGCAAGGGGCTGACTTCACAATCATCACGGAGTGTAACAATTGGGGGCCAGCCTCCCCTGATCAGAGGGTCACAATGCAGTGGTAGTCGACCAAGAGCCAGAGGAATAGGTGGGGGAGAGGCAAGAATAAACCCTTAGGCCCTCCCCGGCTCTGACACTGTGTGGTTACAGCAGCCTGTGCTCTCAAGACCTCTAAATGCTTCATGCCTGTGTCCCTCGGAACTGCCCTGGAAGAAGGATGGAGAGAGAAAGGCCCTGGGTGCAGAGGGAGGCGGCACTGGAGGGGTCTCTAGGGGTGGGAGAATGTGTCTACAGATGTGGAGGCTCTATGTCCTGACCTGGCAGGCAGCAAACTGCATAACATCCAGTTGCGTAGAGGGAAAGTCCAGGTGGTTCCTGAGGGTTCAGAGCTTGTGTGTGACCTGGTTTTACTGCTGGTGTTCTGAGTGTGCCACACCATTACTCCCAAGTACATTCAAGTGTTCAGTGACAGTGCAGAGGAATTTAAAAAATGGGCCAGACATTACCTCTGCTCTCAAGAAAAACACTAGCCAGGCAGAGTAGCACACGCTAGAAATCTCAAAGCTATTTGGAGGCTGAGGCAGGAAGATTGAAAATTTGAGGCCAGCCTGGGCAATGCAGTGAAACTGTGTTTCAAAATAATAATAATAATAATAATAATAATAATAATAATAATAATAGACTGGGAATGTAAGTCAGCGGTCCCTGGATTCAATCCTAAGTACCACAAAAAAAGAAAAAACTCACTACTTTAGGAAGACCTATTCACCACCTTGGGGGGTGGGGAGCAGGACTATTCAGATAGCACTGGCAGCCATGTGTGGTGGTATGTGCCTGTAATACAGCACCCTGGGAGGCTGAGGCAGGAGGACTACAAGTTCAAGCCCAGCCTGGGAAACTGAGGGACTTAGCCAGATTCTCTCAAAATACAATATAAAAGGCCAGGGATGTAGCCCAGAGTGAAAACCCTAGGCTCAGTCTCTAGTACTACTGTGCTACAAAAAATAATATAAAATAATATAATGGGCCGCGGATTTAGCTCAGTGGTTCTGGCGCCAGCCTCACAAGCGTATGGTCCCAAGTTCAATCCCTGGTACCAAAAAAAAAAAAAAACTTGGGCCAGGGATTTAGCTCAGTGGTTCAGACGCCTGCCTCGCAAGCGCAAGGTCCTGAGTTCAATCCCTGGTACCAAAAA